GAAACCTGGACCATAAAGGCCAATGTGATGAACCAATTGGAGGCATTTAAAATGTGGGTATTTAGAAGACTACTCAAAATTCCCTGGACAGATCACACAACAAATGTCGAAGTATTAAATCGAATGGGCAGAGAACGAGAAGTGCTGCCAATAATAAAAAGAAGAGAAACTGCTTATCTGGGTCATATTTCGAAATTCCAAGTATCAGTTCTTAAAGTTTATTATGGAAAGGAAGATAGAAGGAAACCAAGGCATCGGAAGAAATACTCATGGCTTAAAAACATAGGGGATTGGACAAATCTCGATGCCCATGTACTTTTTAGAGCCACACAAGATCGAGAGGAGTATTCCAGAATTGTCGCCAACATCCACTAATTGGATAGGGCACAATAAGAAGAGAAGAATCTTTTTGATTATTAGACACAGTTGAAAGGTATTGATAAACAGTTTATTGTGTTTTTCGACCATTCCGTTTAATTGTGGATGGTGAGACGTAGTATGAGTTTTCTTAGTACACAAGATTTTTATTAATTCCTACCACAGATCTGGTTCAAAATTTCTTCCTTGATCAGAATGTAACTATAAAAGAACTCCATGTATAAATACGACGTGTGTTATAAACTCTAGCCTGTAGTCGCTTTTTGATTCGAAAGGGCTGCAATTTCAGGCGGTTTTGAAAAATATTCCATTACGGCAATCAAGTACTTGTTTCCTATTTCAAGTGGACCAAGTATATCCACTGCAAGTCGTTCAAAAGGCTCTCTTGAAAGATATTGTACCATTTTCCACGACTCCTTGTTCTATGGCCTTTTCTACCGTTATATAAATCCCATTTCTTACACCAATCTTCTACATATTGGCGAAAATTGATCCAGTAAAATTTGTCTCGAACTCTGGTCAGTGTGTTTTTGCCATTAAAAAGTCCTTCAGAAAAGCTGCTATGAAGTTCTCGCAACACACTTTCTATGTGCGATTTCGATAGTACCACTTGTTAAACTGTACATACTACTTTGGAACTTTCCCACTTCCGGTATGGGCCAATGGAAAGATACGGAGATTCCCATTGAGCCAAGTGGGCCTTTATAATTTCACTGTATTTGGTTAATTACTGCCAAATCGATCTTACTCCGTTTTTAAGCCATTCTCGTATGACTTTTAGGTTATTATCTTTCTTTTGACTCTTTTTAAGATTGTCAGTTAACTCTGATCATTATCTTCTTTCTGTTTAAAAGTGTCTTCTGGAGACTTACTCCGGTTAGTTTTTTTTCTTTAAGCTGACACTGACTTAGACTTTTAGTAGATCTCAAAAAAGTATAGCAGCGTGTGGCTAATTTAAGGGGTAATTCATTTAATAATAAATTAAAGATAATGCATTATTATTAAACATACTTAAACAGTAATATACATTTTATAATATTACTGAATTGATAATTTGCTTTATTTACTATTATATTTACCTCTTGTTTATTTTAAATAAAAAATTATTTTTGAACTTCAGACAATCAAACATTTCATATTATTTGCGGGCGTTAGTTTAAAATCAGTTTTAAAAATTTAGGGAAGGCCGCGAAATAGAAAAAACAATGGGATGAAAAAAGACTTCCAACTATTACATACAAAGTTTTTAGAAGAAATGTGTTACGTTACATTAGGGAGTTTTTGTAACTACCTAACGTAACGTATCTCCCCATACGTAAAGAACTAACGTATCGAAGAAGATGAACGTTAAATTGAGAGTTAAAGTTCTGCACGTAACGTAACGATGGTGTTGCCCTTATCGAATTAGTGATAAACTAATAAGTTGTCAGTGCCTGTCTTGTCCTTATCACTTAACCCCATTTTTGATATTCAAAATAAATAACAAATATTTCTTAGTCGAAAGAAAATGCAAAAAAGTATTTTTGAAGTGTGTATATTTTAGGCAATTCCTAGCTGAGCGCTTTCGGCTTTACAAAGCCATCATCAGAGCTATGCTACAATAAAATGTTCTTATAAGTACTAATTGGTAAAGATTTTAATTTTTAACTTACGTCAATTTTTTAAATACCACTACAAAGGAGAGATCTCATTTCCTTATATTTCAAAATTATGATTTTTTTTTTAGTTGTTGAAATTTGTTAAAACATATAAAAAACATATAAAAAGCCGAAACTGGACTTCACAAACACGTTAAAAAATTGAAAAAATTTTTGTCATGGTACGGGTGTAAGAACCCGACCATTGATTGATGTGAGGATGTAGACAGAATAGAACTAATGAAATCAAATGTCGGTCCTTTTAAACGATTTTTCAAAAGTGATAGTTGACAAATGTCATATATAGGAAATAGAGATTGTTTTTTTAAATTCTTACAAAATTATTTAATAGTTTGGAATTACTAATAGTCATCAAAGACTTTCTAAAAATTAAGTTTTTAAATTAAATTTTATGTGTTCATCACATCATACAGAATGACATTAGTTTGTAAATTCACTCAAGTCATTGCTCAAGGTCAATGTATGTTCAATCTGACAGCTATCCTTAAGAAACAAGGGCTCAAAATGTTCAACAACAATATAAAGAAGAAACATGGTATTAATGTTACGTTATCTGATACTTAAGTGTATTGAGAATTGAACATAAAGTTGAACATCAACTTGATGAACATCAAGTCCATCTTCAGCAAGATCAAAGCACAGAATAATAAACAAACAGAATACCCACTCTCCACGGAAAATTAAGTACGCGCATCTCCTCCGCGCAGACGTTCCGCCATGTTTTAGGAGGATTTTAAAGAAATTAGTGTTGTTTATGTGGTGTGTATGGAAAAATTAACCAGGTTTATTTGACTTACGGCAATCATAGACATACTATACCATTATATTAACATTGTTAAATATAATAACATAAATATAATATAATTAAACATAAATATAAACAATTACATAACCACACAAATCATATGTCTGTGTCCTCCTAAAACATGGCGCGCGTGCTGAAAAACTTCAAAGGCGGCATCTGAGAGTGGCCCTTCTGATTGCTTATTATTCTGTGATCAAAGACAAAGTTGACAAACTAAACAGAAGTGGTATTTACAAGCTGTCCTGTGGTGACTGTAATATGACTTATGTAGGTAGAACAATGAGAATTCTGAATCAAAGAATCAAAGAACACCTCAATAACCCAGAAAAATCAAACTTTGGATATCACATTAAATTTAATAATAATTCCTTTTCTCCTTCTGAAAACAGTAAAATTTTACACAACATTCCCAATAAAAACTTTAGACTCATGAATCTGTTGGAAGATCTTGAGATATCCAAAGAAATGAAACTAACCCCTGATTGTTGCTTAAACACACAAATCAACCTCAATTGCAATTATAAACCTCTTTTTAAATTATTATGGGAGACTTTAGAGGAAGAAGGGTGCCCTCATGCAATCTTATTATATATTTTTCATACTTTTATATTTTTAAACAAATTTTAAACTTTATTAGAAATTTACAACATTTTGTAATTCATTTGACAGTTGTTCTTAATTGAAACATATAAAATATATTCTTAAAAAATTTATGCAAATTTCTTACAAATTTCCATCAAGAGATACAATTCTCAATACACATAAGTATCAGATAACGTAACATTAATACCATGTTTCTTCTTTATATTGTTGTTGAACAATTTGACCCCTTGTTTCTTAAGGATAGCTGTCAGATTGAACATAAATTGACCTTGAGCAATGACTTGAGTGAATTTACAAACTAATGTCATTCTGTATGATGTGATGAACACATAAAATTTAATTTAAAAACTTAATTTTTAGAAAGTCTTTAATGACTATTAGTAATTCCAAACTATTAAATAATTTTGTAAGAATTTAAAAAAACAATCTCTATTTCCTATATATGACATTTGTCAACTGTCACTTTTGAAAAAACGTTTAACAGGACCGACATTTGATTTCATTAGTTCTATTCTGTCTACATCCTCACATCAATCAATGGTCGGGTTCTTACACCCGTACCATGACAAAAAATTTTTCAATTTTTTAACGTGTTTGTGAAGTCCAGTGTCGGCTTTTTATATGTTTTTTATATGTTTTAACAAATTTCAACAACTAAAAAAAAAATCATAATTTTGAAATATAAGGAAATGAGATCTCTCCTTTGTAGTGGTATTTAAAAAATTGACGTAAGTTAAAAATTATAATCTTTACCAATTAGTACTTATAAGAACATTTTATTGTAGCATAGCTCTGATGATGGCTTTGTAAAGCCGAAAGCGCTCAGCTAGGAATTGCCTAAAATATACACACTTCAAAAATACTTTTTCGCATTTTCTTTCGACTTGTCATAAGTGTGTACAAAAAATATCAGTCTTTAAAATATTTCTTAAACAATTTTTAATTTTGTGGATGGACGCAATAATAAATGTAGGTGCCATTATTGATGATGAAGAAGACGAGGACATAAAAAAACCGCTTCACCATTCATTCTGTATATGGATAATTGTACGTTGTCAAATCAATTTACGTGGACTATAATTTAAGATTATAATTGTTATTTTAACATAGATTCTTTTGAAATTGACTAATGTATTATAAACTTCAATGACAATGTCTATACCAAAGACCAGTCATGAAAGTCACGTGTCTTGTTTATTGATTCTATTTCGAAATATTTTTATTTCTTTTCGATTTTTCTTTATCTTTAAATTTCTGTTTTGATTCCCCGCATTTATTTCGTCCCATTTTTCTCTAATTGTTTAATTATTTCTATGTACGTGAGCTCTTTCTGTTGGTACTTTTATTTATTAGTGGGGTGGTTTGAAATTTTTTTTATACATATTGGTATAGCCTCACTTTTTCTGGTCTCTTTCTAAAACATATTTATTTATAACACATTATTCTCATATATTAATAATAGTTTATCGCTAATACTGCATTACTCTTTTATTTAAATACTCTAAACAATTATCCTCTATACTGCTAATATTAATTATTATTGTATAAATTTTTAGTGTATCATGTGAACGGTGATGAACCTCTTGTTAAGACACCACAAGGCACTGTACGAGGATATCATAAAAAATCGTTTGGAGGAAGACAGTTCTTAGCTTTTGAAGGAATTCCATATGCAAAACCACCTGTCGGTAATTTAAGATTTGCTGTAAGTACGGCGTATTTTAATTACTTATCATAATAGTCTAACAAACACGGTCTAGGGATTACCGGAATGAGTATAAAGAATTTATTAAAAGGCAGCAAAATATAATCTTGGTACAAAATGGTTACTATGACTGATTTTATCTAAAAAAATAATGGAAAAGAGAGTAACTGTGGATGAATACTATTAAATAAAAGACCTAAGATGATCGTATTGATATTGGTTTGATTTTTATTAATCAAGACCATTTACATCTGCAATTATAAGTATAAATTAAGAATAAAATTAGTAGCTGAATAATAGTCTTTGTGTTGTCGGTATGTATTTCCTTTATTAACCAAGAGATTTTTTATAACTTTGAGGTTAGATATAACATCTTGGTTGACTTTGTATATTAACTTTAGGTTAGACATGGTTAATGTTACTACAAAATTAATATTTTATATACACTCGTGGACAAAATATTCAAACGATTGCTTACGTATATGATCAATTCTTTTTTTAGTGCGTATTCCTTTCGGATGTTGGCGACCATCATGGCAATATGTACTTTGCAAACTGCTGTTTTGAAAATATTTATGTATGGTTGTTGTGTTGAACTACTTACGTCAATAATTGCTAAATTTACAAGAGTTGGACTTATTATTTCTACCTGCCTACCAACTAAAACCATGATATAAGGAAACATGGTATGCTCAAGCCATCGAGCAATAAGACAAAAGAGGGAATCTAATCCTTATGAAAAGGAGACCAAAAAAGTGGCCTCTGATGGCGGACATATCCGAAAATGCGAATGCGCGAAATTTAAATTTTCCGACACTTATCAACAGTAGCTATATAATATTTTTCAGAATGTGTCTTAGACGAGAAAGATTTAATTAATTATTAATAATAAGAGTCTAAAATGCGACACAATTGTTAAAAAACTTCAATATAAATAAGCTTTCATGTGACAGTTGGGACAAACAATCACATAACCCAACTAAATTTGATATCTTAAACAAGGAAAGTGACTCTCTTTCCTTGTTTAATGTGGCCTCTAAAGATCTCACTTCCTGTCTAACAATATGTTTGCCCCCACTACCTTTACATTCCCTCTTTTGTCTTTTTGCTCGATGGCTCAAGCGCATCTATTTTGAACAGCCAATCGCGTTTACGACCAAAATCCGCCATTTTGAAGGCGGCAATTCAAATATGTACAAAATTGATACGAAATATCGTAGTTAAATTAAGTAAAATAAAATTAATACTATACATTAATCCAATTAATTCATATTTAAAATGATCTGAACAGACTCTTGCTAAAATAATTTTTAAAAAATCGAAACAGAACAAAAACACATTTACTTTTAAATTCCAATACATTGCAAAGTAAGGTTAAAAAATGCAAAACACTGGACGTAAACAAAGCAGACGTCACGCATGTAGAGGTGGTTGATCCAAGTATTTTTGTGGATCAGGTCAGGTATGCTCACTACGTGGACTCGTTTTTGCACATCACTGCGCCGACCAAATCCACCATTTTTTCAATACGTCACATGCGTGAAGTCTGCTTTGTTTGCTTATATCAGGGATCAGGTCAAACTGATACGCATAAACAAAAATACCTGATTGTGGTAAGCCCATTATTTTGTGGGAATAACTAGAAAATTATTTGTATTGCTGAGAAATTAATTAATTTGTTTCGAAATCTTTTTTCGAATTTCGAATTTCGAAATATATATATATATATATATATATATATATATATATATATATATATATATATATATATATATATATACGGATATATTGGGTTTAGTAGTCAATATATTGGCCTTTAAGTAAAACTCTTTAGGTTTGCTAAGCTTTCGAGTTTATTTTACTCTTTTTCAAAACATACTAATAATTAACATAAAAAATTTACATTAGAAAAATGAAGTTCTTATGTTTTCAATAGGCTTACCCTTGTGAGAATTGTCTTTTAAAATTAGCAAAATTTTACGTTAAATTTGATTTACTTTTTATTTCTGTCAAAACTTATTACTAAGGTTTCCATGTCTCTTCTATTTTTTATATTTATTTTAGGTGAGTTTGACAGAGGAAGTGTCTATGTTTATGCAAACCTTCATTGCATATCATTTCATATCCGTATATATTACTCACATAGTCACTAAAGCCCTTTCTAAGAATATATATATATATATATATATATATATATATATATATATATATATATATATATATATATATATATATATATATATATATATATATATATATATATATATTATTTTTGTTCAAATTTGCCATAGAACGATCTTTATACAATTCAATTTAGAATATAAATGCCTTATATCATATTAAATTCAGCTAAGATAAATTTTAACTTCATCCAGATGCATACACTTACTATGAGTACAGTACCCGTACCATGGACGTATAAATAAAGATCTTTATTTATACGTCCATGACCCGTACTCGTTTATTATAATATATTGGTGTTAGGGATCAGTTCCACAAGTATAAATAAAATACATGCTCCAAAGTAACTGGTACGGGATCAGGTCACCATCCCTACACACATGTGACATATTGAAAAGATGGTGGATTTTGGTCGGCGCAGAAATGTGCAAAAACGAGTCCACCTAGTGAGCATACCTTGTTTCCTATATCACGACTAAAACCACCCTCTCATACTTATGCGCAGTTTACTGTTGCACATACCGTACTCCGAAAGTGGGATAGCTGCTGTAAGGCATCTTCCCGATATTTTCATAATCATCTCTCTCATAGTCATATAGTTCGTACCTATTTCTCTAGACCTTATGTTTCTCTCCAATATCCGTTTATTACACTTCAGCATTGTGTAAGTAACAGTGTCGGAGTATTCGCAGTATAGGCAATTATCTGTATCTGTCTTTCTGAACTTATAAAAATTCGCCCTAAAACATCAATGTCCTGTGGGTACTTGCATCAGAATATAATCCAGTTGACTATCACAATTCACCTAGTCCCTTAGGCTCGGGATCAGCATCTTGGTCCACTGAACCACAACAACAACATCCTCTATATTGTTCCACTCTTCTTACCATCTTTCGATTGATCTTTCCCGTTCTTATGGCTGGTTTTAAATGCTCTCTTCTCTCATAGAGATGTCTCCTTTCTACTGCTAAAACATTCAGATGACTACAACCTGTGATAGTGCACAAGGCCACCGCAGTTCCAGTCCGGTAGGTGCATGCTAATCGTAACAGACATACTCGTTTTGTCTACTCGTATCATTAGCAATGATGATTGACTGCATAACACCATATAAGGACCTCCTACTTTCTGATTTGGGTCCTTCAATGTTAGGCATCACTCTCTCCATCGCAGCCTTCTCGACTACGACCCATATCTGCTCCCCTCAAACGCCATATTGCTAGCGTCACAAATTTTAACGCATTTCTTTATTTTAACTCTATCCCTACACATTGGAGTTCCACCCCTTCTCTTTTTCTTTGAATCTTTAGAATGTGGGTTCGGAATCTCTGATTCGAAAACTAAATTATGTATTTGTACAAGAAAACGAAAAGAGAAACCCAACTACATCTTAATAAACAATGTTTCCTATCCAGTACAAAGTCATGTTAAATATTTGGGCATTACTCTTGATAGACAGCTTCTCTGGAAAGAACATATAGACAATATAGTTAAAAAATCAGAAAAGGGAATAAATCTTCTTCGATTCGTGTCACACTTACGATGGGGAGCACATCCAAATATTTCTTTGTTATTATTTAAAAATAATATAAGAGCTATAATCGACTATAGATCAATATTATACAGTGACGCATCACACTGTTATTTAAACAAAATAGACAAAATCGTTAATAAATGCCTTATATTGTGTAGTGCCCTAAGAAGTACACCCATTAGTAACCTACAAGTCGAATGCTGTGAAAAGCAAATGTATATAAGACGAAAAAAACTTTGCATTAGACTTTTAGTTAGATTGTACGAGGAAAAGTCAAGTTTAATATTCAAAATACACCAGCTGTTCTTAGCAGACTTAATAGAAAAATATTGGATAAAAAAGAAAACTCTAAATATAGTAGATTTCTATTCAAAAATGACTATATATGTTAAAGAACTACATAAATATGACATAAACCCAAATTACAATATTGACTGTAATACTCTAGAACAAGTTCAGGTATATTTTTTAAGGAACTACAGCAATTTACCTTTATCTTTAAAAAAATTAATGTTTATATCTGACAGTTCACAATTGTTCAAAGATTGTTATATACTAATATACAGATGCATCCAAAAGTATCGAAGATGTGGGATGTGCATACTGGGATAACAATAATAAAAAACAGTAAAATGTTTAAACTCAATTCCATCATGAGTATATACACAGCTGAATTAATAGCGATAGTGGAAGCACTAAAATATTTATCTAATATAAATCATTCAAAGTTTATAATTTATAGTGACAGCAAAAGTGCTTTAAGTAAAATTAGTGCCATAAATCCTAAATCAAAAGTAAATTACGTTGAATTATATATAATTAATAAAATTAAAGAACTTCAGCCACAAGCAAAACTGTTAAATTGGCATAGATTAAAAGCCATTATGGAATAACTGAAAATGAGATAGTAGACGAATTTTCAAAAAACGCTATTACACAAGGAGTAGTAACTCATTATCTGTGTACGTCTAGAGATATAGAATCAGACACGTTAAAAAAACTTATGAAGGAATGGAAAGAAAGGTATATTAATGATAATATAAATACAGGAAACCATTACAGAGCAATCAGAAACCATATTGCGGATAAATCTTGGTTTGATAAAATTGAATCGACAAAGGATATGACAAGGACCATATGCAGAATGAAATTTAACCACTGTCTTACACCATCATATATGTTTAAAATGAATCTAGATGATAGTCCACAATCTACTTGTGGTCAGATGGGTAACCTACATCTACAACATAAAATTTTAGACTGTTTTCTTATTTCCAATAAGGTTAATAATTTTTTATATTCGCTGTATTCTTTGACCAATGTTCACCATCCCATTAATTTAAGTTTTTTATTAACATTAGAAAACAATGAGTTTTTATATAGATTATTGTATAAACAAGTTTTAGATAATAAACTCAAATTGTAATTGTAAATATAGAGTAAGTATTTCTTTGTAATTTGTTAGAAAAAAAAGGAAAGAAAAAGGAAAAAAAAGAAAAAATAAAAAAGAAAATAAAAAAATAATAATAAAACATAAAAAAAATTAAGAAAAAAATAAAAAAAATGAAAAATAAATAAAAATAAAAAGAGAAAAAATGAGGAACTTGGACAGTCCACAGTAAAGTAGTTATTGAATTAAGTAGATAGCTGCAGAAGAGTTTACTGTGGAACTCTGAGGACCTCATCACTTATTTTATGTGATGAGGACTATGACTAATGACAAAATTAATACAAATTGTAAGATTGGCGCATGGATTTAGTGTCCGCAGTCATTAAACAACAATATGTTTTGTCAAGCTAACGAAAGAATCTAAATCCTAATAAGTTAAAATATAAAAATAAAGAATTTCGTAAAATGGATAGTGATTTATTTTAAATCTTATTTATGCATTTTTTATTAAAATGCATCTTACTGTGTGACATAATAGGATCAGAGCATATTCCATATTAAGTATATATTTCATATTAGGTGCAAAACTTATTTTTTTCATATGTATTTCATATTATATTTCTTAAATTTGAAAATGACGCATAATTTGAAAACTTTGTTTAGTTTATTTTTTGTTACTTTGTTTATTTATTAAACTTTAAGAAATTTACTAGGCTCGACTAATTGACCGATTTAGGCGGAATATGAAGGCTTTAAGTTACGTAACAATAAAACACTGAAAACTTTGTTTTCAAACTTCCACAAAATTTATTTTAAATCTTATCACTACAGCTGTTTCGGCTGATTGCCTTTCTCAAGTGATTTGGCTTGGGTTTACAAATTTATAGTCTCTAATGAAATAGGTTGAGGAGGGGATAACTGTTTGTCTCGAGTTGGTCATTCAGAATTATATCTGTGTTTTTTAATTTGTTGATTTCCATAGATTCTAACAAAGATAGCTTAAGGCCTTTATTTTAAATGTGAAGAATTTTAAATTTGTCAGTAAAAGAATGATTATGATCTAGAAGGTGAAGTGCGTATGTCGAATCTGTTTTTCTATTCTTGAAAGCCATTTTATGTTCTGCTATTCGTTTATCAAAGTTTCTACTACTTTGACCGATGTAAGTTTTTGGGCACATTGAAGTTTGTACACACCACTAAGCGGTGTTTTTTAAGTGTTTTTTATTTTGGCTCTTGTTATTTTTAATATATTTGCCTAGGTTGTTATTTGTTCGGAAAGTTGGTGTTATTTCTTTCTTTTTTATGTGTTTGGCAATTTTTGTTGTTATTTTGCCTGTATATGTAATCGAGCAGAAGGTACTGGGTTTTTTCTCTGGTGGTGGAAATACTAATTTCAGGGCTTTCTTGTGTAGTTTTTGATTTAACATTTTATTAATTGTTTGTTCGTTGTATCCGTTGTTTACTGCTATTTGCTTAATTCTATTTACTTCTGTCTCAAAGTTGTATTTTGACATCGGAATTTCTGTTAATCTCTGTAACATACTATGATAAGCTGCCAGTTTATGTTGTGTTGGATGGGATGATGAATTGTGTATAGTCGTGTCAGTATGGGTAGGTTTATGGAACATGGAGAAGTCATGTTTGTTTTGAAGTCTGCTAATTTTTAAATCTAAAAAATTTATGGATTGATTTTGTTCTGTTTCTATTGTAAATTCAATATGATTATGAAGTGAATTAATATACGATAAAAATTGGTCGAGTTGCCTGTTAGTTCCTGTGAAAAACACCAGTACGTCGTCTACGTATCTCCACCAGTATAAAAACTGTTTGAATACGGGATGTTTTGAAATCTTTGTCTCTAGATGATCCATAAAAATATCTGATAGCAATGGGCTTAGAGGATTACCCATTATAAGTCCTGCACTGTTATTTCTATATATTTTATTATTAAATTCAAAGTAGTCCTGGTTTATGCAAACTTCAAGAAGATGTAAAATTTCAGATGTAATTATTGGATTTGTACTATTTTGGTCTAAAAGGTTTTTTACTAGAATAAAAGTTTTTGTAGGAGGGATACTAGGAAAACGATTTTTTGCGTCAAATGAAATTAATCTGGAGTTGTTAGATAATTGAAAATGTTGTATTTTATTAACTAGTTCTATTGTATTTTTTATGGTACATTTAGGTGAAAATTTAGTGTGTTCTAAAATAATCTCTAACAGTTTTGAAATTTTTGAAATTTTATACATATACAGGCAAAATAACAACAAAAATTGCCAAACACATAAAAAAGAAAGGAATAACACCAGCTTTCCGAACAAATAACAACCTAGGCAAATATATTAAAAATAACAAGAACCAAAATAAAAAACTCTTGAATAGTGGTGTGTACAAACTTCAATGTGGTGACTGCCCAAAAACTTACATCGGTCAAACTGGTAGAAACTTTGATAAACAAATAGCAGAACATAAAAGGACTTTCAAGAATAGAAAAACAGATTCGACATACGCACTTCACCTTCTAGATCATAATCATTCTTTTAATGACAATTTTAAAATTCTTCACATTCAAAATAAAGGCCTTAAGCTATCTTTGTTAGAATCTATGGAAATCAAAAAATTAAAAAACACAGATATAATTCTGAATGACCAACTTGAGACAAACAGTTCTCCCCTCCTCAACCTATTTTATTAGAGACTATTAATTTGTAAACCCAAGCCAAAAATAGATCACTTACAAAGGCAATCAGCCGAAACAGCTGTAGTGATAAGATTTAAAATAAATTTTGTGGAAGTTTGAAAACAAAGTTTTCAGTGTTTTATTGTTACATTAAATGAATTTCCATCAAGTAACGGTCGAATCCATCAATGCTTTAAGTTACGTTTGTACAAGCAATATCCGTCGAGTTATAGGCAAACACATGGGCGCAAAAAGCAAAGATTTGTAATTTGTTTAGAGTTTGTCAAACAAAAAATTAAGTACAAGGTTTGCGACTGGTGTATATCACTATTATTGATAGGTGATACGTCCTGAAGTGATTCGAAAAAAAATAGACTGCTATGGAAAATATCCAGTATGATCTGCTTTTGGGTAGATCCCGACTGGACTGTAAGCAGTCAACAGCGATACAGACTGTTTGAGAAATATTCGGCAGAAGAAAAGATAAAAACCAACAAATATTTCAAATTTTAAAAGTCTTTTTAATTGCGAACTTTTTAAAAGCGAATACCATTCGCTTATACGTGTTTCCTACCTTTTCAAGCTTTAGGTTTTGAAACCTAACAAATTTTGAGATTTCTAATTCTGTTGAATTAACAAAGGAATGCTTAACTAGTACAAACATGTTTAATTTAGATTGTAACAATAAAATAGATAAAAATTTTGTTATCACTATTTAAGGAACCTGAGCCTGCTAATAAATGGACGGGACAATTAATTGGAAACAAGACATATATGTGTTTAGGATATATTCCTATACCAGGGATGAAGGGATTTCTAGGTAAATAACAATTGTTTCTTAATTTATTCCATAAAAAAAGTGGGATACGTTTACAGTAAATAAAATTTTTATTGCACTATTTTAAGGTTCTGAAGATTGTTTATACTTATACGTTTATGTCCCACTTACAAATATTAAAGGGGATGAAAATTTAGACGTCGTTGTTCACATACATGGTGGTGCCTATCAATTTGGTTCTCCTTCGTATATGGCTAAACCAGATTTTTTAATGGACCAGGATATAGTCTATGTCACAATGAATTACCGTTTGGCAATTCTAGGTAAGTTGTTAAAGACATTTATGTTTTTAGGTAAATCATTAAAAATAGTAGGATTTGTGCTTATAGTAGTATATAATAAGTTTGAATGATAATTTCGTGATGTATCCAATTCATTAATTATTCTCTAAGTGCGCTAACATTTTTGCAACCATCAACTTCCAGTAGTTGCACCTCTGATTCGAATTTCTATGAAAATCCACTTATTTCGCCAGACCAAGGAACCATTCCACTTAAACATAATCCAAATACCACTAGTGCAGATTGCGAGCAATCATTTCCGGCTTCAGCAACCACCTTTTTACGAGTGTATACTCCTTTATAATGTTGATATATAAAATAATATAAAAATTAAAATACAATGAGTGATGATTTATTTAGCTCAAAGTAATGGCTAGTCTTTCTTCCGCTGAAATAGGTTCACGAAAATTGCTATAAAGCTTACAAATGTCTTCCTTTATTAAATTTAAAATTTTATCAAAACAAACAATTTTCATTCTGAAGTATTTATAAAACCGATTTTTGTCAGATCGAAGTTATGGCATTAACGTATGAAATTCTCTTTTTTGCTCTTGTTTGTCTTTTAAAATTTATCTTATGAATCCCAATTCTTCTTTGTATATAAAAAATATTAGTAGGTATTAAATCTTACCCAGTATATCAAAACAGATATTATTTCCAGATACCTAGTGCATACATAATAAGACATCTGGCATTTGTCGATTATCACAAAGCATTCGACAGTATCGAGAAATGGGCTTTCTTAACAGCATTGGATGACGCCAGAGTAGATTCAAGATATGCTGCCCTCCTTAAGAATATATACGATGATGCTACTTTTCACGTAAAAATAGACGATGATCTGGAAACTATGAAAATAGACCTTCGCAAAGGTGTGAGACAGGGCGACACCATCTCACCCAAGTTATTTACTTTGGCATTAGAAAATGTTTTCAAACAACTAAATTGGGCCGAAAATGGATTAAAAATAGATGGAGTATATCTTAACCATTTGCGTTTGCAGACGACATAGTACTAATAAGCACAGATATCCATGAACTAAAATCAATGCTACAATATTTAAATCACAAATCGAATCAAATAGGATTAAATGTGAATCTCGACAAAACACAGATATTAAGCAACAGCCTAGAAACATTACGATAGATGACATCGATATAGAAAAGGTAGAACAATATATATATATATATATATATATAAATATATATATATATATATATATATATATATATATATATATCTAGGACATGCAATTAAAAACGAAAAGGAAAATCAAACCCTAGAAATTAAAAGAAGGACACAATAATTATCATGGGCTGCTTTTGGTAAGTTGAGCTTCATTTTAAAAGACAGAAAAATCCCAGTTCACTTAAAACAAAAAACCTATGACACTTGTATACTACCAGTTGCAACTTATGGATTGGAAACTATGGCAATAACAAGAAAAATGGCAAAACAATTAAGAGTAACTCAACGGGCCATGAAGAGGGCCATGTTAAATATAAGCCTCAGAGACAAAATTCCTAACACCGAAAATCATGGGAAAAATAGAGACATTGAGATGGCAATGGGTAGCACATGTAGCAAGACAAGAACCAACAGATGGTCTCATAAAGTGACATTCTGGAGACCTCGAGAAACAAAAAGAAGCGTAGGAAGACCTAAAAAGAGATGAATAGACGATATAACTGCTGTAGCTGGAAAGCAGTGGATGAGAATTGCAAAAGATAGGAAAGCGTGGAAGCAATTGGAGGAGGCCTATGTCCAACATTGGATAAATGAAGGCTGAAGAAGAAGGAGACATAATAAGACAATCTTTAATTGTAATATATATATATATATATATATATATATATATAATATATATATATATATATATATATATTTATATATTTCGATTCTGAAGAATGCATTTCAGACTATGCTGTACTCGTCGGTTCAATTCAAGCGACTAATCGCACCAATGGGTTTATGACATGAAAAGAGGCCGTCGCTTATATTGCGAGATGCGAGATAAATCGTGTCGTTGACGCACCGATTAAATCGCAACAATCTGTTCATTCCTTTACTTTATCAGTTGCATATTAGAGGACTTATACGCTTGTTCAATTGAAATCCATGTTTGGCCAGGTTAGCCTTGGAAACAATTGTAATCACTCAAATCATGTTCTGAAATGTTAGTTATGTGTGTAAACGTTACAGTGATCAGTTCCTATCACTTGTAATTTACTTCGATTTTAAGTACAACCATACGCAGAATAAGCAGATTCTGACGTCAAGAATGCAAGCCACTTCATCGAGTCTATAAAAGCCTGATATAAGCCGGGACATTTGCCAGTCAGCTTCGATGTGGTCTCACTTTTCACGAATGTTCCTATAGATCTCGGGTTTCAAGGGTCGTAGAACATATGTTTTTTTTTTTGTAATTCGTGTAAAAATGCCAACAGAAATTAGAGAAACAAATTAATTTCCGCCTCTGAGTTATTTCAATTGCTTATAAACTTAAAATCACAGTACTTTTGCAAACCTATTTACAATATTTATTATAAACTTTTTTATTGTTTTATGATTAAATTTGATAGATTAAACCTTATTCGTCAATCTGGTGATTTCAGTATTCTTATAGACGCATACTAACCTTGTAGATAAAAGAATTTTGACATAAACAATTATTTTAAATTAACTATTAAGTGAAACTTCTTGAAATTTTTGAAGCTGAATATTTGTGAGAATGTTCTTATACTTAAGCAAAATCAAAGATTTTTGTAATTTTAAAAAAGTTATCAAAAATTTTCAAAAAATCAACTTTTTAAGTTATTTTTGCAATAATTAAGCAACAAACTAATGAAAATAACTTTACGAACCCTCATTTTAAAAGATTTTCTATGCTTTTTTTAGTAAAATTTTGTAACTTTTCCATATAACTTACTAGTCTTTACCTTTAGTAATTAAAACATTGTTTATAATTGTTTTTAAGTAAAAACAGTGAACAGCGCCTAACTTAGAATAGGCAGCTGATACAGAACTCACCAACCTGTCTGGCAAGCGAGGTATTTTAATCGCAAAAAACCCTCTTCAGGAAACATATCGAATTATGAAACAAACGGGATACGACCCCAGGTGGGTAGAATTACTAACTCGGAATCCCACACCGGGAAACCGGTTCATCTCAAGGATTGTGGGGGAGGCAAATATTCGACGAAAATAAATGTAGTAACGTATACCATCAGATCCATTAACGAAGGCCAAAATAGAAGAACAACTATATAAAGAAGAAGACAAAGTAGGACACCATGGATACGACAAAAGAAATGATACAGGACACACATTCACATTGATGAATTACTTGGAGAAGGAGTAACTATATGCAATGAATACATTCTTTAAGAAAAAACCCTAAAGAAAATGGACATGAATTGGTACCAATGGTAAAACTAAAAACGAAATTGATTATATTCTTTCAACACAAAAATCCATCGGTAAAGACGTAACAGCCCTAAATCACTTCTCAACTGGTAGCGACCAAAGACTAGTCAGAGCCAAGCTAGTCATTGATAGTAGAATTTTAGAATCATAGATTTGAAAAAAGAAAGACAATGGAAAATAATCAAAAATTAGACATGGAAAAACTAAAACAACAAAAACAGACGTACCAAGAGAGAATAAAGGAATTATTGCTGACCAAGGAAGTTATAGAACACAAACATATCGATGAAATAAACATGATATTTACTGGAACTCTAATGAAAGTGGGTAAGAAAATAGTACAGACAACAACAAAAAAAGAAAGTTTCATATCCCAGGAAACAAAAGGAAACAAAGATTCTTATAAACACAAGAAGAACATTACTAGAACAAGAGGACAGAAATAAAATGGAATACAAAGAAATAAAGAAAACTATTTAAAAAATATATATCAAGGAATGTAAACGGAGAGTACAGGAAGAAAAGATAGAGAAAACAATTGAAAAAAATACAAACATAAAGTGCTTAAAACAGAACCTGGAAAACATACAAATGAATAGCATAAAGAACAAAGAAGGAGTGGGGACCAACAATATAAAAGAAATTTTACAGATAACGCACGAATATTCTACAAATCTTTATAAAACAGAACAAAAACCAACCCAAGAAATCCGTACAGTTACAGTTGAAAATAAAGAACGTTAACTCTGACCTACAACTAGAAATCAGTAAAAATGAAATAAAAAAGGCACCCAAAGAAATGAAGAATAACAAATCTCCTGGGAGAGATGGAATAACTGTGGAAATGTTAAAAAATGGAATAAGATCATTATACACTGGATACCATATAGTTACAAACGAAAAAGAGGAAGGCCACACATGAGATGGTCAGATGACTTGAAGAAACACGCAGGCCCGAGGTGGATACAAACTGCTCACAATAGAGAGACGTGGACGAAAAATCCTTAGTTCTATTGGACTAATGTTATATCAAAGGTATTATAAGTCAAGAAATTTTTAGTAAAATATTCATAACTGTCGATTGTAATAAATAATTATTATTAACCCGGGACCGCCCCTGGGGCCCACATGGATACGCTATATTTTCAAGCCTCTTAAAATTATTTCAGTAGAGTGAACGTGTACGTTTTATTTTAATTGTTAAAATGGATGACTTTATCGATGTTCAAGCACTAAAGGATATTTTGAGGTAGGCTCTGAGTTATTACTTGAACTTTATTTTATTACGTTACTAACAGCTAAAAGTTTATAAGAATATAAAGTTTGATGAATTTATGTTTGTGCAAGTTGCATTTATTTCAAACTTTTTCATGCCGTGCCCTGGGACGTCCATTTTATGCCATTTTAAGGTTCAAACGTCCCGGGACTTCTTTTGGACGTCCAAGGGATATTTTTAGTCGGACATACCGGGGACGTCCCATTAGGTCGTCTGAGGGACGTCCCATTAGGGATATATTAGGGATGTATTAGGGATGTTTTCTAGATGTTAACTGTGTCATTTTTTTACTTAAGCATATCTTTTACAAAATATAATCTTACTACTAAACTTTATTTTAAAAAGTTATATTTAGTTTTAAATACCAATAATTTATACGAAAACAGACAGAGGCCCCTTTAAGAGAAAAATCCTTATTCTATAGCAGAGCTGTATCTCTAAAATTTTGTTCTGTAGTGGAATTGAAATTTAAAAATTAGAAGATGAAAGAAGAATGTGGTTATGTTTTAATGAAGCTTCAATTTATCTCCTTTATTTCTTGAATTATAATCATTGTGGTTGTGGTTGTAATTAGAATTAGTTTATTGCTTTCGATACTAGTTTATCGTTTGGTAATTTATTATTATAAACATTATATAAGTAGGTATATAAGAATTTTATAGGTAATTTTTGTGGTTGTGGTGTGAGTTGCTACATTTGTAAAGTAAGTAGGAGTAATGTGCTTAAAAAATACTATAAATTTAAATACATAATATGTTAATATAAGTACACAATAAAAATCCCATTTATTTTTGCTTTTCATTTTATGTATTAGTTTTTTGTAAGTTCCCTTAGGTCCTGTAGACATCCTCATTTTTCCTGTATTAGTCCATGTGGACGTACAATGGATGTCCCCAATACATCCTTCTTAGGTCCTATATAAGTTCGTATTAAGTTCTGTATATGTACTATGTACGTCCCAATGAACATCCCTGGGACGTCCAGGGGACGTACTTTTTGGTAACAATTAGGTCTTATTGGACGTCCTGGGGACGTCCAAATTATGTAAACGGATATCCGTGGTATGTCGGACATTTAATGAGGTACATCCTTCGAACATCCATGGGACGTACTTGTTGTGTCTGGGCATATGGACCCCGTGGGCACCTAAACTTTTTTTTGTTTTAGTCCTGGATTTTCGCTACAGGAAGCAGTAGAGCTTATTTTAAAAAATCATGATAATATAGCCCTAGAAAAAATCTTTGTTGAACCTCCACCAAGTAATGTACTTACTGATGAAGAATCTGGAGACGAGGATGAAGGCGGAACTTTTCTACATTTAGCTGGCAAGCAACTTTTAGCACCTGCAGAGCTCGTTTTTACTAACGGTCGCATTGGTGGTAATTCAGATAATGCTATTCAAGAACTTTCAGCCATTTCTTCATGTGTTTCTCATCAGTTTACACCAGGCCTCAGTAGCTCTTCAGTTACAAACGACAATACTAATAATTATTCAGAAAACTTTGACCAACGAAATGTAAATGAAATTCCAGAATTTATTGGTTCTTGGTTGGACTATCAAAGAGATAATATACATAACGTAGAATCTATTGAAGGTGATATATTGAAATATGTAATATGAGATTTTCCTACATCGAGTTATGAACTTTTCAAAAATAAAAGCCTCATCGAAGTATTTGAAATGTTTTTTACCAATGAAAATATTGAACACTTGGCTCAGGAAACTAGAATATACAGCTTTTAAAAATTCAAGAGAATTCAAATATTACATATGATGAAATAAAATGCTTCATAGGAACGTTTGTGATAGGATAGTGAGTATATGGGGGGAACAGACTAAATGGACCGAAATTTAACTGAGAATAGGATAAACATTCGAGGAAAAAAGTGGTGGTGGACTCCCTTTACATATCTTATTGATTTGTGTGTCATTAAGGCTTGGTTAATGTATCGCCATCAAGACCAAAAAATGTCCCAGTTAACATTTAGGCTCACTTTAGTACAAGGATATTTGACAAAATACCAAACTATTACTTTACGACCAGGACCAAATGTAATCCCCCAAGCTAACTCGTGAAAAGTAATACCCGACATACGATACGATAACATTGGACGTTTGGTAGATTCTACTAAAGATGGCAAAAGACGAAGATGTGGGTTGGGAAGTTGTAAAAGTAAAGTGAGAACAATATGCATCAAATGTAATGTTGGATTATGTGTTTTGTTGGATTATGTTTTGTAACCTATCACACTAAAAAATGAATTTAGTTTTTATACTTAGTTTGTACTTTTTTATACTTGTATTTATAGGTTTTTTATTCAATAAAAATGCATTAATTTTTTTGTCGTCTGTTCTGTGATTTAATAGGTTTATTCTTTTAATGCCCACGGGGTCCATATGGATACGGGGTAAATTCAATATTTAGCATTATCAAAATTTTTTTTAAATATTTTTCTAGTGTTTTCTAAACCATTTTTAGTGGTTTTTGAAAAAAAAAACTCATTTTTTATAAAGATAAAGATTTTATTAGGTCCTTCCTTTTAGGATTTCTTAGTACTGAAGATAACGTAGTATCTGGTAACAATGGCTTAAAAGATCAGGCTTTAGCGCTAAAATGGATAAAGGATAATATCAAATATTTTGGAGGAAATCCAAATTCTGTTACACTTACCGGACTATCTGCAGGAGGATCTAGCGTTCACCATCACTATTTTTCTCCGTTATCGAAAGGTATATTTTGCTTAATAAATTAATACATATAATTTTGAAATTCACCTAATACAGATAAGTAATTGAAAACTAAATTTTGTTAATTTTGTTAGTTATTAAAATATTTAACACGTTGGAGTAAAAGGTTTATTATACGGTTTGAAATATTTTTGGTTTAAATGATACGAGATCCCACTGCAAGATTAATACTTGTTTAATACTGATGCCAGTTTCTATTTTACATCTGATTGGTTCTTTGCTAATTACTATTATTTTAGTTTTTTGAGATGACAACTGTCCCTCTCATATCGATTCTCTTCCTTTAACATTTGCTCCGCGGTTCTCTCTCATTATGTGCGACAATAACTTTATTTCTTTATGGTCCTTACAGTCCTAAATTTCATACCATTTCTGCTTTATTTTTACATCGATTTTTAACACTCTTCCATCCACACTATTAATCTGCCGTACGTGGGTCAAGTCTTTTGATGATATGTCCTTTGGTTTAGCAAGGTTGTATAATCTTTTTATCCCATTGGGTGTTTCCAACTCTTCATACAGCTGTGCAGACGATATTTTCTAAGCAGTAACTACAACGCTCTTTTTTTCCCTCTTTGATACCTCGTACATATTCTTATCTTCCACTCTTTTAGACCTGCCGTAACTCGTTCTAAACTTTTTGTTCTCTTCTGTTGCACTTCATCGTTTCATAACCAAGTTTCTAGATCTCTAGAAGACCCTGTACCAAAAGTTTTTCCTAGAAATTCTTTTTCCACTCTTACCACAACTTTATTGTTGGCCTCTTACCAGTCATTAACTGTATCTTTTTTTCCGATCATTTTCAGCACTCTTATCTTAAAGACTCTTGCCAAATGCTTATCCTTTAGCTTTACTACTACTTTACTTTCTGGTGTGTGACTGGCTTTCTTTTTTGCCTCACCTTTATCTTCGTATCCTCTATCATCGGTCTGTTTTGACAATACAGTTGGTAACCTCTATTAGCTGACTTCTTCTGCACAACACAAAATCTATCTAACTTTCCCTACCTCTGCTACTACAGGTGACAAAATAGTCTTCAGTCTTTATAAGGAACATATTATTGACAACCAAATCCCATGCCACTGCAAAGTCAATAATACTATTTACTTCATCACTCTCTATTCTTATCTCTAAACCTCCGTGAATTCTTTTTTATTCCCGCTCTTTTCATACCAATATGTCCATTCGAATCACCCTCAACAAAACACTTTTCTTCTATAGGAATGTCGATCATCTCGCAATTAAGGACCCTCAAACTTCCTCTTTTCCTGTTCTTCCCGCACTACCTGTGGGGCATAGGCACATATATGATGTTTTTGTTGGTATTGCCTGTATCATTATTTAAACTGTCCGAGCGGCTAAAGCTCAATGATGATCCACAATACGTCTTTCAACGTTATTGTTAATGACCATGATAATAATATGGGTGCTAGTTTCGATTACTAATGTGTATTATTTCATACAGAATGTTCCAACAAAAATTTGACCCTTCCCCCAGAAACTCAGAAAGCAAGAGTTTCTTTATAATTTAACAAAAACACGTTAATTTGTACTGGGAGCAGGACGAATTTCATAACAAACTTCATGCCCTCAAATGTAACTCCCTACTGCCCTGCATCAAAACCCCGCTTTTTAAATAGTAAGTTTGGTCGAGTTGCACATCATTTGAAAAGTATTGTTTTTTCTCTACACGACACATTTTTTTATTTTTGGAATAACTTTGAAGGTACTTTTGAATTTAACTAATTTGTTGATTAAACACAGTAATAACAAAAACCTGCGACCTCCATACAATAATACAGTATATTTTCAAAGCCTCTTCGTACATTTGCAAATACCTCCAGTGGCAATAATCGGCATATTGTCACAATTTTTTGTCGCAACTCCGCAAGATCTGCAGGCGGAGTTGCATATATTGGACCTCTTCTGCCAATCCAACGCCCTGAAAAACGTTGATTAAAAAATTGTCTTACGCGTATAATATGTGGGGGTGCCCCGTTCTGTTAAAAAGGCATTTCAGCCTCTATAAAATATAATTATCAGATTCCAATGTGTCAGTGATAAGCGGATCAATAACGTCTTCTAACAAATTTAAATAAGTTGTTCCGTTGAGATTTCCTTTAAGAAATAATGGTCCAATACCGTGATTCCCTTAATTACCAACCCATACATTTAATTTGTTTATGTGTCTTCATGACTAAATGAGGATTACTGTTACACCAATAACGACACTTAGAATACAATATATACAATATATACATACAATCGATGTTGGCTGTTATTTATGATTTAACTAAGGTTTTCACAAAATTGAAGCTGACGATCAGGATCATCTTCATTTAATTAATGAAGTAATCGTATTTTATATTGTTCAAATTTATTTGATTTTATAATTCAATAAACACTAGATGCTGATACATCAGATGCACGAGATAGTTGTCTAATAGACTTGCTTTACATGTCTGCTTTATTTCGCACTCTACGGCCTACTTCGTGTTTTGTGTTGTTAACGTTACCTGTAGCTTCAAACCTATCAGTTAAATGTTTAACGTATTGGCGACTCACGTTTTTTTCTGGGTAGTTCGTATTAAAGATCCTTGCCGTAGTCTTAGCACACTGATTATTTACATAGTATACCTTAACTAATTCTATTCTTTTTTCACTATAATATCTCATTTTTGTAAGTCATAAAACTTACAAAAGACCCATTACATAATATCCCATTTTTGTCCTGAGACCGAGAAATCGATCTCGAAGGCGGATGAACCAAGGATGGTCAATGGCGGAAGGATGCAGAAGGAAATGGGGAACCACTGCATTAAGGACTCATAGAGTACTCCTAGTTAAGTCATTATGGTGTACATAAAAAATGCTGGAAACCCTACTGTCATGAGAATAGGATACCAAGACCCGGCAGAGTCATAGAAACATAAGACTACAAAGCTCACTTGATCGTAAACATGCGAAATTGTACAAGAGCGCAGAAACCAATAACTTTAAGAGTTGCAACTTGGAATGTTAAAAGTTTGTTATCTGCAGGAAAACTGGATAATGTTGAACAAGAAATGAATAGATTTTAGAAACATCGATGTTTTAGGAATCAGCGATATACAATAGCCAGGATCTGGGAAATGTTCAACACGAAATGATGGCGTATTTTATTACTCCGGAATCAACAACAGCACCCATCGTTACGGAGTTGGAATCATCATTTCAAAGAAATTGAAAAATTCTCTGATTACCTGTACTCCTTATTCAGAGATCTTCATATTAATACAAATTAAAGAAAGACATAACTTGATAAATCTTATTCAAGTCTATGCACCAACAGCAGATAAATATGACAATAAAATAGAACAATTATGCAACGATTTAAAAGAAATGCTGAAAACAATAAAAAAGCAACACTAACATAATAACGGGCGATCTTAATGCCTAGGTGGGTCAAGGTAAGGTAGGAGAACAAGTAGGAAACTATGGACTTGGAAACAGAAATACCAAAGGAGATCGATTGATTCAATTTTGCCAAAGCTAAGACTTCATAATAACAAACACCTTGTTCAAATTACCTCCTCGACGGTTATATACATAGACATCCCCACAACATACCCAATAAAAAATAGTGAGAAATCAATTAGACTACATTATGATAGCAAGGAGATATCGTAATGCTGTGAAATGTACTAAGACATACCCAGGAGCTGATATAGGCTCAGATCATAACCCGATAGTTGCTGTCATAGAGGCGAGACCAAAAAAGATTAGAAGACCACGCAGAAAGGCACTAGATTTAAATAAAGTTAGAAACAAAAATATACGACAAGAAACAGGAGATGAAACAAATGAAAATCTCCGTTCAGTGCAGCAATAAAATAACGATACAAATAACGTTAACCAAAAATTAAAGTACATAAATACAGCTATAACAAACAGCGGGAAAGAAACATCTTACAAAAACAACAACAAAGAATAAGGGGTGGATGACACAAGATATACTAGACTTGATGGAACAAAGAAGAAAGATGAAGAATTACCTAGACAAATACAAAGAAATAAACAAACAAATGAAAAAGAGAATAAAAGAAGCCAAAGAGGCGTATATTAAAGAGCAGTGTGAAGAAATGGAAACCTATGAGAAAATGTACGATACGTTCAATATGCACAAAAAAGTAAAAGAGATAACAGGAAGCATAAAGAAATGCCAAATAGGTAAACTTAAAGACAAAGATGAATGGAGACATTATTGTAGATCTAGAGAATAAAATAAAAAGATGGACATAATACCTGAATGAATTATTTGAAGACGATAGAAACAACTTAACTTAGATAATCAATGCAACTGTGCCAGATATATCGAAAGAAGAAGTAGAATACAGAATAAAACGCTAAAACTGGAAAAGCAAATGGACCTGATGAAATTCCTACCGAACTGTTGAAGCTTTTGAATACTAAATCCGTAACCAAAATAATTACATCTATTCAATACAATATACAGTACTGGTATAATACCTCAAGAATGGTTACTTTATACGTTTGTCACCTTACCGAAGAAAACTAAGGCAACGTAATGCTCAGATCATCGAAGAATCTTCTTGATGAGTCATCTGCTTAAAATATTTCTTAGATTCATCCACAACCGAATCTATCAAAAGTTAGATATCGATATCAACGATACACAGATGGGATTCAGAAAAGGATTAGGTACAAGAGAAGCTCTCTTTGTCTTAAACGTCCTAACACAGGGATCTCTAGATGTTAACCAAGAGGTACACGCCTGCTTTATAGACTTTGAAAAGACCTTTAACAAAGTACGCTACAATAAACTCAAAGAAATCCTGGAGAAATCAGCGAGCTAATATAAAAATAGAAGACCAAATATCGGACGAAATAGAAATACGTAGAGGAGTACGACAGGGTTGTATATTGTCACCGCTCTTGTTTAATATCTACAGCGAACAAATATGCCAAGAAGCTCTTTCACATACAAACGAAGGGATAATAGTCAATGGAGAAGGTATCAATAACATTCGATATGCTGGCGATACTGTGATAATGGCAAGAACAGCGGATCTATAACATCTAGTTGAAAGTATGAATGAGATATGTAATACCTACGGCATAAGGATAAACGTCAAAAAAACCAAATATATGACCTTCAGTAAGAATCCAATACATGACACTAGTATCGCAATAAACGATACACAACTCGAAAAAGTAAGCGAATACAAATACTTGGGAACCCTCATTAATGAAACAGGTGACCAAAATCACGAGATAAAAGACGTATTGAAATTGCCAGGTCTATCTTTATAAAAATAAAAAAATAATTTTGTAATCGTAATGTAATGTAATCTAGAATGTTAAAATGCTATGTATTTAGTACTTTGCTTTACGGTGTTGAGGCATGGACTCTTAAACAGAGGAATGTTAAAAATCTTGAAAGCGTAGAATAAATAACGATCCAGAAGTTATACTGAATATAAAAAAGAGAAAACTTGAATACTTAGGCCACCTGATAAGAGGACAAACGTACACATCCCTACAAAATATAATACAAGAAAAAATCCAAGGACGCAGAGATCCAGTCCGTAGAAGAATGTCCTGGATGAGAAATTTAAGAGAGTGGTTTGGCTGTACCACTAACGAATTATTCAAAACAGCAGTCAATAAAATTCGAACCGCCCTAGAAATTAGAAAATTAGAAAATCATGAAAAAGTGATATTTTTACAAAAAGAAAAAAAAATGATATTCAACACAGTGGCGTGTTGATATTAACTTGCAAGTTGATTGACTTATTGTATCTTTAATATACATAATATATATCTTATAATAATAATTTAACCAACTTAATCTTAAACACACTATGGAATCAAGTAGTTCTTTTTTAATCTTAATACATTTTAGGTTTATTTCATCGAGGACTTTCTCAAAGTGGTACTGCTTTCTCTCCTTGGTCTATCGTAGAATATCCATTAAAAAAAGCAAATGAAGTTGCCGGACATCTTAATTGCAGTAGTGATTCTACCAAGGTTATGGTAGATTGTCTAAGAAAAGTTGGTGCGGTAGATCTGATGAAAGCCATGACAAAACTATTTATTTATTTAGACGGTATTCCACTAATACTCTTTGGACCTGTAGTAGAAAAAGGAGAAAACCCATTTTTACCTGATCATCCTTATAAGTTAATTAAAGAAGGTAGAATTAATGATGTACCGTGGATTACTTCAAATGTAAAAGACGAAGGAATTTTTCCTACAGCCTGTAAGTACAATACTTTTTTTAAATCATTATCATTATATTTACATTTATATATATATATATATATTTACATTTCTTCCTAAGTTTGTAACTTGTGTTGTAACATGTAGCACACTAGCTCATTCCCGAAGTCAAAAAACCCTTTTAATTATATACTACTTTGCTCCGAAGACTATGTACTAGTTGGCCCCCATGATCAAGCGGATTAAGTTTTTATCTCCAAGTTTTAGGAAAATTAATACCGGCAAAATTGGTACTGTCTATTTTGTGGACAGTGAAATTTTATTATTTAGATTATATTCACTTTGTGATTGATTTATAAATTTTATTAGATATTTTGATATGGTTTATGAATTTTGTTAGTTATTACTGAAATTACTAAAAAATACAGTTTTTAAAAATTACTGAAGTAATTTGTACATATTCAAAACTATATGGGACAAAGCAATACAAGTGTAAAAACATCATATACCTTTATACAACTAAACAAATATAAATTGAAACAAGACTTTCAAGGCAAATCTATCGATTTTATTTTGTTTTAATTGCGTTATTTTGTGATAAAACATTTTTTTACGCTCTCGAAGTACTTTTTGGTACACTTTTTTTTGTTTCAGAAAACTTCATATTTTTATAGAAGTATCAATTTAAGTATATTTTAAGACTTCTAAAAAGATGCACATGCAAATATTCTCCTTCTCAATCTATCTAATCTCCACTGCTGAAGCAAATATTGGACAAATACCAATTTCTTTGTGCCGTTGTAGTCAATAAATTGTTAACATCCTGGGTAAAAATTTCCATAAGAAAGCAACAAATAGACTTACTTCAAATTTGAAGCATTCCTTATCTACTAATTTAAACTCCAGTTTACCTGATAGCAGAAAATCCGATCAATGTTTTCTAAATATGCCGTTTACTATAAGAATTAGTAGACACATTGTACTGTTGCAAACATTTATCTGCAGATTCAGATAACATTCCCTTTATCTTTTTTAAAAATCTTTTTAGGCCTAGTCAAGATTAACTGCTTAAAATTTACAATTAAATATGGACCAAAAAATCATTTTCAAATTCTTAGCAAAAAGCCATAATTATTACTGTTAACAAACAAGGCAAACCTTCAACTGATCCAAATTCCTACAGACCAACTTCTCCCATATGTACATGGTAGAAACTTATGGAGAAAATGATCAATCAATAAATTTGGCACAATCAGATTTTAGATCACATCGAAGTACAGCATACAATTTAGCAGTCCTAAAAACATGAATCATTAACACCTTCCAGTGCAAACAAGACATAATAGCTGTTTCGTTTGATATCGAAAAAGCATTCAATACTCTGTATAGGCCTCTTAGTATAGCAAAAGTCGAGAAGTATAGTCTATCTAGAAATATATAATATCTTCATTTATTAATTAATTTCTAACAAATAGAACCTTTAACGTAAGAGAAAATGGTAAAATCTTTAGGACTTTTAAACAAACTTATGGCATTTCCCAAGGTTCGTTATTGAGTCCTACACTCTATCTGCTTGCTTTGAACGATATATGTAAACAAATTGAGCTTCCAGTCAAGTTTGCACTCTACGCAGATGAATTGATAATTTTCTGCCGAAGCAAAGACACTGTTGCCACTTACAAACTGCTTCAGAATGCTACTGACCAATTGCTTACATGGACTTCATTAAGTGGATTTAACCTTTCTATTGAAAGGACAAAAATCATTAAGTTTTGTCGCAGGACAGCCAGTACTATAAATTTTAAAATTACCATAAATGGTACTTGTCTACCAGCAGTAAAGAGTATACTGATTTTAGGAGTCAAATTCGACAGTAAACTTACTTGGAAATGCCATTTAAAAGATCTCAGAACTTAGTGCATGACAAATTTTACCATATTAAAAATTCTGTCCAAACATCACTGGGGTGCAGACGAAGAATCATTACTTCAGATTTATAGATGTCTTATTCGTTCTAAAATAAACTGCAGTTTCATTTGTCTGTCAGCGAGCTCATCAGATTTAAAATTTTCTAATTCTTTACACAACACTGTAAAGCCTCTGCAGAGAGTTTATACAGAGAAGCTAATGAACTTCTCCTCTGATTACATCGCCAGCAACTTCTTTTCAGATATTTGTCTAGAATCTCAGCTAATACCGAAAATCCAGCCTATAATTTACTACGGAATGACATTGAAAACTCTTCTTTTCTTATTAAACTTCAATATATGTCATCAGAACCAGAACAAAGACAGTAGATGCGATAGAACAAGCAGCAAAAATAAAATGGAAATGGGCTGGATACAATGAGTGTCTCCAAGACGGACGATGGAACAATGCCATCGGAAAGTGGCGTCCATACAATGCAAAGAGATCAAGAGGCAGACCACACATGAGGTGGAAAGATGACATCAGGAAACAAGGAGGTCCCACATGGCAGAGAACAGCTCAAGATAGGGAAAGATGGAGAGAACTGGGGGAGACGTATATCCAACAATGGAAGGATAGAGAATAGGTTCAAAAAAAATATGTCATAGTATCTCTAGTATCTATGTACAGACTCTTTAGCGTCTATCTATTCTCTCAAAAGTATGTAAACGGTACATCCTATGTTCTTTTTAAATCTGATGATGTTGGAATCTTTGTTGTTAAGTTTATGGAACAGGATTTTTTTCACTGCTAGATCGACTTTTTAATTACATGGAATAGCAATGTTTGACGGGACTCACAATATTCTTACTTTAATTCGATTAGTTTAAAGACGATTAAAAATACTCTGGATTTATTAAGCTATTGGGTGTATAGAATGTTCTTATCAAGTGTATGGATGATAGAAAGTTAGTACAGTTTGCTACAGTATTATTGTCGTTGATTGGAGTTTTCATTCATAGTTTGTAGTATTCCATATAGTTCAGCTGTAGTTAATACAGGTTGACAGTAGTTGTAGTTGTTGTAACAGCACAGCCAAAACCTTCTTTACTCTTAGATGCGTTTGGGTAAAGGATCTTATCGAAGTTACTTTGATGTAGTATTTCATAGAATAAGTGTTTGATAGTGGAAGGAGGTGTTTCATTATATTTGGATAATTCGATATTGAGATTTTTTTTTATTATTGAGTTAATGCCTCGACAATTAGGGTCATTGACATGGTACAGTCAGGTACCTAGTGTAGTGTGTGTGTGTGTGTAGAGTAATTGTCTTGATACTTAGCAAAGTCGACGTCATTGTATTTGCTAAGAGACGCTAATTGTATCCGAACGTCTGCGGTCCCTCCGGTGAGTACCGATCGCGGAAGTATGCATATTCATGGAAGAGTTTGAGGGATCCTGAAAGGGGTGGAAGACAACATATTGATATTTTTTAAATAAATAATTCGCATCTGTATATTATTAGTAATTGGTAATTGTCTATTATAGATGATATTTCTTGTGGAGTTTGAGGGATTTGAAACTCTAGCGAAAAAACAGCAGTAGAAGTTGTTGTCGTCTTAGATGAATCGAAGGTTCACAACATTCTACGCGGATGCTTTCCACCGAACTGGATCTGCATGCTCCTAGATAAAGTCAAAGAAAATTATTTTGGACTATATTTAGTGAACGTAGTAGTAATTTACTTAATGACATGTAGAGAATATTAGCGTAGTCAAGTTTGAAGCCGATAAGACCTCGGTATATTTTAAGTATTGTTTTCTCATCGGCTCCCCAATTAAAATGAACTAGTATTTTGAAGAACTATGAATCAAGCTACAGCTACATACTACCTAAATGAAAAGGAACACACGAACCTTGTACCAATAAACAGGGGAGTCAAACAGGGAGATACTTTATTACCCAAACTGTTCACCTTAGTTTTGGAGGACGTTTTTAAAAACCTAAATTGGAAATATAAGGGAATAAACATCAATGGCCGCTACCTCAGTAATCTACGATTTGCAGATGACATAATCCTGATATCTACTGACCTACAAGAAATGCAAACCATGCTTTTAGAACTACATACCGAATCTTCTAAAATAGGACTGAAAATGAATTTAAACAAAACAGAAGTCATGCACTCCGAAGACACCGTGACAATAATAAACGATAAAGTTATAGAAAAAGTTGAAGAATATATATACTTAGGACAAAAAATAATACTAAATAGAGAAATTCAAACTGAAGAAATAAAAAGAAGAAGAAAGTTAGCTTGGGCAGCATTCGGTAAACTAAACTATATACTCAGAAATCAACAAATTCAATTACATCTTAGATCTAATGTTTTTGATGCATGCATTATTTATTCCGATATTAACTTATGCGGCACAAACATGGACAATCACAAAAAAGAATATGAATATACTTAGAGTCACTCAACACGCGATGGAAAGAGCAATGCTAGGTATATCACTTAAGGACAAGAAAACAAACACATGGATAAGAAAGAAAACCAAAGTCACCGATCTGGTGCAAAAATAATTAAAGTTGAAATGGGAATACGTTGGACATGTAGCTAGGAGCGATCTAAACAAATGGCACAGATCAATTTTAACCTGGAGACCATAGCAACACAAAAGACCCAGAGGCAGACCTCCTATGAGATGGACAGATGATGTGAAAAGGAGTGCCGGGAAAAATTGGCTACAAGTAGCGTACAATAAAAAACAATGGAAAGGAAGACTTGAAGAGGCTTATGTTCAGATGTGGACGTGAATGGCTAAACGAAGAAGAAGAAGTGTTTTAAGGAGATTTATTATTTAAAGGCAGCTTTAGGAAAGTTTGTTTTGAAACTTTCATGACGGAATAATAGTATGTCGTCACCATATATTCCATATTGTACAAGATCATTTATGAAGAAACTTAAATCGGTTATACTAAGGAGAAATGGTGTGCTGCTTAAGACAGAACCTTGTGAGATACCGTTTTTGGTTGTGTCATGATATTGTTTCATCAGTAATTACTTTAAAGGATCGATCTGTAAAAAAGTTTTTTATAAAAGAATATAAGTATAATAGCAGATAGCTTGTACCGACTTTATTTCTTATCACAGAACTCGGTATAAAGTCAAAGCTGCTTTTTATATCAAGGGAGATTGCAATGACTTCACTTTTCTTAAGCAGCACATGCGCAATTTTTGATTGAAGAAGTAAAAGATTATCCATGTTTCATCGATTGGCTCTGAAGGCTGATTCAAATAGGTCGGAAATATTATTTTGTTCAAGGTACCAAAGAAATCTTTTACTAACCATTTTTTCTAGAAGTTTACATAATGTACAGGCAAGAGAGATTGGCCCTTGAGGTGAGTGTAACGTCTTTAAAGATTGATCGCCTTTTTTGATAGGAATCATTAGGGATTATTTCCATAGTGATGGGAATTTTTGGAAAGATCAAAAGATATTTACAAACAAATAAATATTAAGAACTAGTATCTAATTGAGTATCATCCCTAAGTAGCGATGTTTAGTAACAAAACCCAAAAAAATCATATTTTTGGCAAAACATGTCTTACAAAAATTGTATATAAATATGAGACGTAGATGATATAATTGACCCTTGTTTTAGTTTTTGTAATGAATCATATAATGTCCCTCTTTGAAGAAAAATGGAATGATATAATAATTTATTTATGCGATTTATATGACACAGTCGATGAATCTGATAAGGTTACAGTAGCGAAAGCACTGAGGAAGTACTATTACGGAAACAAAGCAGTCACAGAAAAGAATGCATATTCTATGGTTCGGGTAAGTTCTTATTTTAATTTAATTTGTTAGTTTGTTTTTACAAAATTGGCAATATTAATATTTATTGTACAGCTGGTTCCTAAACACAGTGATACGACTCTTAGTAAGATTTGATTATTTTGAGCAGTGTATTTGATTGGTCTGACATTATATTACATTTATAATGACAAACAAACAATAAAATAAACGAACAAACAACATTTTTTATTTATCGTATGGCACGTGACACATTTACATTTAAATTTACACATAATTTGTATAAAACATAATACATATATGTTTACAAACGGACATCTAACTTATTTATATATTCTATCGACTCTGGAGTCGCCATTAGGAAATCCTCTGACCTGCCTTGATAGGATCTTGTGGGACACTGTTCTGTGATGTGATAGATGGTTTGTGGTTGTCCGCAGTCACAGAGTGGGGATGGTCGTTTACCCCATTTGTGCATCATATAACCGCACCTGCCATGTTTGGTTCTGATTCGGTTCAACATAGTCCATGTGTTGCGTGGTAAGTCAAAACCTGGTGGTTTTTGTGCGATGCAGGGTAAGCTGCTATTTTGTTGTTCCATCCATTCTCGAGTCCAAGTGGTCGTTAAGTTGAACTCATTTTCTACTGCAATCTGTGCTGTTTTTATTGGCGGTCGCCTGGAGCGCAAACGGTTACCGTTGGCAGCATCTATATCTTGATGAATTGGCAGGGTCTCGTTGATAAGTATCTTTTGGTACTCACTAGTGAGAAAGTGTATACGCCGTAGTCTGGGTGGTGGCATGTGGCTCAGGACTGGGAGCCATTGCGTAGGGGTGGATTTGATAACACCTGCAATCATTCTCATTGTGTTATTTAATTGGGCATCTACTTTGTGTGTATGTGAGCTATTAAGCCAGGCTGAAAAGCAGTATTCCGCGGTTGAGAAAACGGGGCCCAAGGCAGATGATCGCAAGGTGGAAGCCGATGCTCCTCATGTTGTGCCGCACAGCTTCTGGATGATGTTGTTTCTGGATTTTAGTTTTTGCGCTGTTTTTGACAGATGTTCCTTGAAAGATAGAGTTCTATCAAGAGTCACCCCAAGGTACTTTGGTGTTTTATTGTAGGCCAGTGTAGTGTTTTCGAATTGGACGTTCAGCGTTCTTCCTGCAAGCTTGTTAGTTAGGTGAAAACTAGAAACCTCTGTTTTGGTAGCGTTTGGTTGGAGCCTCCATTTACGGAAATACTTTCCCACTGTGTATAAGTCTGCCGTAAGGATTTCTTCTGTTTGTTCAATTGACTTACACCTTGTTGCAAGGACCCAGTCAAACAAACAACAAACTATTGATAACATAAAATATGTTAATTCATAAATTGTAATAATTATTAAGGTCTAAATTTTGATATTTTTGAATTTCTGCATTTTATAAAGAGTATATAAATGATAGTTTTTACATAAAATAGGCTTGTTATTATTTTTACTATTATTAAGGAATAACACAAACGACTTAACTAAACAATATATTCAAGCAAGAATTGTAACCAAATTAAAAGACAACTGGGTACTATTAGATTCAGTAAAACCTTTTAACTAAAAAATGGAGGGAATAAGAAACTCTCGAAAGAAAGCGAGGGTCTGGAAGACTATAACTATACTAAATTTAGGTATGTAAAAATAAAATTAATATTTTGTAATATCTTCATTGTCCAAGACATTATTGGTGAATTCGGGCTAGGAATAAGGAAGGAACGAGGGGAAACACTGACAGAATTCTGTCAGGAGTTTAAAATAATAGTTTGAATGTTTGCAAAATTATCAGAAACTAGATAGACTTCATAGGAAATGACATTTCCTTACAGTAAGGAATTCCTGACTTTTTCTTCAAGAAATTTTGACAGGAATGTTAAAATTTCCTGGCGATTTGCGGAAAAAGATGTTTTTGTCTGTTTCATCGATTATGAAAAAGCATTAGATAATGTAAGACACGAATTGATGATAAAATACCTACAAGAACTGGGATTGAACGCCAAGGATATAATAATAATCGCCAATCTGTATTGGAACCAGACAGCAATAGTACGTCTTCAAAATTTTAACAAAATAGAAAATTTCTCCATTAAAAAAGGAGTAAGGCAAGGTTGTCTACTTTCTCCAATGTTGTTCAGTTTATACGTAGAAAAAGCTTTTGCAGAAGCAGTGGCTGACTCTAATAAGGGTATTAAAGTTAACGGCATATTTATTAATTACATCAGGTATGCCGATGATACAGCCATAGTGGCAGATAATATCGAAGATCTTCAACGCCTTTTAAATGATCTAACTCTTGCAAGTGAAAGAAGTGCGGGGTTTGAAAATAAATATCAAGAAGACAAAAACAATGATTATTGTCGAAATGATTAGCCCAAGGCAAAGATATATGTCTCTGAAGAAGAAATCGAACAGGTCAGGCAATTTAAATACTTGGGTTGTTTGCTGAACGAGAGTTGGGACCCCGAGAATGAAATAAAGAGCAGAGTTGAACAAGCCAAAAATCCTTTTTTGAGGCTTCGTAAGTTTCTGACTGATCGCAAATTTCCTCCCAATTATGAACCTCCGATAGAAGATGCTTAAGTATTACGTGTGGCCTGTTCTTTTGTACGGAATGGAAGCATGGACGTTAAAGGCCAGTTCCATTAGCAAACTTGAGTTGTTTGAAATGTGGTGCCTGCGTCGAATGCTTAGAATATCATGGACGGACAGGGTCAGAAATGAGGAAGTACTCAGAAGAGCGGGCTTACAGGATAGGGAACTTTTTAGTTATGTAAAAAGTAAGAAGACTGTATACTTGGACACATATTACGAGGAGAAAGATACACTTTTTAGCAACTGATACTCGAAGGGAAGGGTAGGAGAGGTCTGGGACGTAAAAAAATGTCATGGCTGCGCAATATTCGACAATGGCCAGGAATCCACAGCTATGAAATGCTTGGCAATGCTGTTAAAAACAGAATTATTTAATCCTGACTATTTAACATCTCACCTGACAAGACGATGTATGGTGGGCGCCTATGCAGAAATGCACGGCACCTTAAGAAGAAGTGACAGTATGTAAATAATAAGTATTTATCCTTTAAAATACACTGCTCAGTTTTCTACAAAATACGCTTTAATAGTTGTATAAGTTTTTTAGGAAACAGCTGTACATCTTCATCGTCAGTCATGCTACAGCCTTACCTGAGCTTCTACTTTGTTTAGTCCATTTTTCCAGTCGTTATTGTTCATCGCCAATCGTTGTCAATTGTCTGCGATGATTTTCCTCGCGTCCTCGTTAACACCATCCCTCTACCTCAGTCTTGGTCTACGACTACTTCTATTTTCTACTGGTGCTGCTAATAGGGTTTGTCTGGGTGAGTAATTATCATTTGCTCTTGGCACATGTCCAGCCCATCTAAGCCTACTTATTTTTATGAAAGATATTACATCTCTTCATCAATCAAATCTATTGTACATAAATGTATTTAATCATACACAAGCATGCACGTACATACGCACGCACGTTCGAATACAAAAATAAGCGCGTGTGTACCTTATTACAGAAAATGTGTTACGGGACATGTGTTAACCAGGAATCTCTTTATCTCTCTCCCTCTCTTTAGTCCCAAGCACCCAGAGAGAGTGTTATGATCATTATGATGTGAATTATCTATCTCCAAAGATCTGTCTTTGATCATTTCTTTTAACTTATGCATAGGTCTTTTGCATATTCCTGTAATTTGGTTAATCTATTTTGTTGGAGATCTTCCTCGTGTCCTTTGGCCTTTTACCTTTCCTTGGATAATAACTCTTTCCACGTTTCCTGTGTCTACTCTCATAACATGTCCAAAGTATTTTCATTGTTGAAGATGGACTTTGCTGTAGAGTCGTTTACTTATCTTTGGCTCATTTAAAATTGAATTATTGTCCTGTGATCAGTCCATGGAATTTGTAACATTCTGCTGAAACAAAACATTTTAGTGGCGTCTACCTTTCTTCTTTTTGCTGGTTGTAGGGTCCAAGATTCACATCCATATGTCAGTACTGGAAATAATAAGCAGTTGATCAACCTCATTTTTAAGGTTCGTGAAATTTGAGAGTCCTTCCATATTTTGGCCATATTCTATACGACGACTTTTTCTGGATCACATCTACATTTTATTTCTTTCTGTACCAACCCTTTACTTTATTTTTCAACCAGTCATTTAAGATCGCTTAAACTTTTCTTGACTACTTGCAAGTAGGGCTGTGTCATCTGCAAAACATAGGTTGTTTATTTTTCGGCCATTTACTGAGATGCCCTTTTCCCATTTTTTAAGCGATCTTTTCATAATATGCTCCCCATATATAAAATATTTGTATAGATAACATACATCCTTGTCTTATACCCTGTTCTCGATAGAATTTATTTGAGAATGTGTCAAGCATTTTAACTGTTCCAGTATTGTGTTCGTATAGTTTAGTTATAAGAGAAATTAAGTGCTATGGTACGCCTACTTCTTTTAGTATTTACCATAAGTGTTGCCATTTTCCCCTGTCGAATGCTTTGCGATAATGTATAAAAGAAACTAATAGAGGAATATTAAATCCCTAGATTTTCTATTATGTGTCTTCTATTGAGAAGGTATTCTCGAGTACCTATACCTTTAGTAAATCCAATTTGCTCTTAATATTTCTTTTTGTAGCAAAATTTTCACTCTCATTGATTGAAACTAGAAACATGGGTAGCTGAATGTTGGTCATGGGCCTTGGATATCACATAGATGGCCGATGATAACATTACAACTCTGAGAAAAGCCCACTGTTTCCTAACAAGCATAATTGCATAGCTGCTAAATATAAGGCTTAGAATGAATGTTTCTAATTTGATAATAAGGGTGGAAGACGAGCTTCCAAAATCTTAAAACTAGAAGAGATCGGCTAAAGGAACAAACAAAAACAATTTTGACTATCCAGATTTTATTTTGAGCAGGGAGCTAACTACAGACCCTTCGAAAAAGGACCGAGCTAGGAA